TACGTAATGAACATGCCACATGTTGGACTTTACAGAGCCACAACATGCTGGATCGTTGTTTCATTTCCTGGCGACATTTTATTCTCCGGTGTCTGTTAAGCATATTGGATGATATTGCCATCTCAATTCTCATTCCCAATGCTATCACAGGACTGAAACAAGGACAAACATGTCAAATATTAAATTATTTTGGAAGAAGTTAAAAATACGAAAGCATACGCTGGCTGAGCACATAATCAGCCAGGGGACAGGGACACAGGATATAAATTTAGCTTCTTCTCAGGAAGCCGACGGATGACCCTGCAGTATTAAATAAAGTGACCGGCGAGCACCTGACTTCCAACACCTTAAAATTCAATTAATCTCAAAGTAACGTTCAATCATGTCAGCTTATGTACATAGGCAACAAAAAGGAAGGAGTATAGCCTAAACACAATAGATGGAATGAAATTATTTTGAAAGGATTAAGAATCAATAAAACTCATGAGGATGTAATGAGATTTTAAGCTTACAACATCCACACTGTATGTAAATTCCAGAGAGTCAGGGCTATTGGTACGCTTGGGTAAACCTATAAAGGATCCTCCTAAGCATCAAATGATTCTGCTCGCACTGGCATTGATCCCATCCCACGAAGAAAAGTTTGAGGGGCCAGAGGCATCAACGAACCCTCTCACAGATAAATCAGGTACGGATAAATTCGGCCCTTGCAGCATCTCGTGGTCTATAAAGACGACCACAACTGTAATGTCATCATGAAAGAAGCGGCGGATTCCCTTGTCAACCTTCTTAAGGTCTGCATACCTCATTTCTCTCTTTCGTGCTGCTTCATGTAAAGCTGCTCTGACCAGTCTCCTTGCTATTCCCTGGTGATAGAGGCCAAAGGAGTAAATTGTTACCCAGTGAAAAAGGAGGGCAGTGAGTAAATAAGGTTAAAAGGAGAAGAAAAGCTTACAGCTCTTGGGTAGTTAAACACAATCTCAGCAGCTTCTTGATTTGTCAGGTGCTCCCACAGTCCATCTGATGCGAATATTAAGAACTTGTCTTGTGGGCGTAAAACTCTAGTGTATATGGCCGGTTCAGCTGACAGAACAGGTCGACGAAGAGGTTCAGAAAGCCGAAAACGTGGGACTGATGGGTCTATAGTAAACTCCGGTCTCTTTAAGTATGCATCCCCGATGGACCTTGAAACCTTGTGAACATCCAGATGCATTGTTATAAAAGAAGATTATAACAATACTCTAATTTTATAACATTACTGAACAATAAACTAAGGTATTAACAGTTACGGGAGAGCCATTGTGAATGCTGCTTTCCAGTAAGTTGTTTAACATATCAAGTACCTATTCTTTCTTACTTCTTAGTAGACTACAACATTACATACGAGGATTTGGTCACAATACCATAGTTACAGTATAGGGATTCATATTTCCGTGGATATTGTTGAAGAAAAGATGTATCCATTTAAGTTGCATATTAGCACAAGTTCATTTTAGAAAATTAAAGGGCTCTAATGTTCTCATAACATCCGACAAATAAGAGTATCATTTGATTGGAACTAAATGGGCAGTCTAAGTGCTTATTTTCAACTTTCAGAAAACATGCCTCAGGATAAACAGATGTCTGATTGCAGTAGAAGGCATATGCTTCCATTTACATTTTACCCTTCAATGCACCAGACTGCCACCTCCCCATCCCCCAAACAAACAAACAAACAAAAGAAAGAATTGCAGGCCAAACATGTTTGACAAGAGGCATAAAGTAGCATCATACTGCGTAACTACTCTTCCTTGTCTACAAGAAGTGTTTGACATACTTCATGTTGACACAAAAGGGCGTTCTTAAATAAATAGGAGGAAGAGAGAGGTAGTAAAAAACGACTAACATTGGAACTACCTCCAGCATCTGTTTCCATAGCCTATGTAACATTAAAAACATAGACAGTATGCACTTGAGGGCTTCATGCTTAAGATGATTACAATTTAAGAGCATAGCTTCAACAACTCAAATGGTCTTAATAGAAAAAATAACAATTCAAACAGATTGAGTAAATGTTGCGAAAGAAAAGATAGTCACCTGGATAATTCCTTTGATTCTCCACACTCCATGCTTCATAACCACAATATGTGAATCATCAGGATGAAGGGACCTAAGTTCTTGCCTCACATCTTCCATGCTTGCATTATGATCTCTTGTCAATTGCTCAGCAATGATGTTATTTGACCTACCTAAGCAACCAAGTACAGCTCGCGAATCACCCAAGTTAGCAACATATAATGTCCCTCTCCAGATTACTCCCACTAAACAACAAGATCCCATCGCAGCAATTAAAGGTTTAATTTGCCGTGACCTCCGGACGAGAGTCAGAAACCCATCTTCAGTTGCAGAAAATGCATTTCTAACAACATCCTCAGATATTGTTCCACTTTCACGAGCTAGTCCTGCAGAATTATATGGAAAAATGCAATTAGATTGACAAATGAACCAAACAACCAAAATGATGTAGAACATACAAATGTCAGAGCACTAAGCAAAAATAGTGGGCATGTTGCAAGAAACACAATGAGTGAGAACTAAATCAAACCCAACTTGCCTCTAAAATCATAAATACAAGCATAGGCAAAATATTATCCCAGCAATCCTTTGACCATATACAATCTATTAGACATGGGGAAATGGGAAGCATATGTCAGAAGTGAGGTATAGAAGGAAGCAACCTGCAAGGGAACTCCATAACACTTTCTATTAGTATTACAACTCCCAGAAATGCACATATATAAAGGTATCAAGTTGATAACAAGAGTCGTAATGGATTTGCCAACCTGATTCACAGAATGGGGGAAAGATACCTAGATAAACACCAGGAAGTAATTTAATAGTAATTGTTTATCCAAAAAGACAATTAACTATGCTGAGGCATAAAAGAGAAATAATTGGTAAAAACTAAAAAGATACAAGGTAACACCAACATATCTTCAACTGCAGGGATTAAACTCGAGTTGGTGTGCACAAAAGCAAATGGAGTATCCTAAGCCATGACGAGTTATCATATGATCTGTTAACAGTAATAACAACATCAGTACAGGTGGTGGGTCAAAGAAAATATAAGGTTAATCTTTGACCACTTGCTCACTTCAATACACTCACTTCTATGTACTGAAGTCCTGAAAATGACTACAAATGTCAGAGAATGGAAAATTAAGATTGCATTGAAAGAGGCATGAACAGCAACAATGGTGGAATAAAGGAAAAATAATGACTATAGCCGGGGCCTTCAAAAGAGAGGATCTTATAATTAAAGCAGTAAAAGGTATGGATCTAATCAATATGTAAATCTCCAGAGCTAGTAAATCCCAATGAGTAGGCAGTATAAAACTCAATATTCACAACAATAACAAGAAATATTCCCCAAGGACCCAAAATATGGGACCAATAGAGGGGACAAGTGAGGTGTCCCCCTCCTATTGGATAATGAGTTGGCCATCATTAATGATGGCCAACTCATTATCCAATAGGAGGGGGACACCTCACTTGTCCCCTCTATTGGTCCAATAACAACGACGACCAGCCATTATCCCAAATTTCTAGGGTCAGCTACATGAATCCTACTCTCCTATTAATCGATTATGGGGAATCTCATCCATAAGCTAAATATTATCATGTCCTTCTTAATTGCTTCAAACCAAATTATTTTAGGTCTACCTGAGCCCTCACTGATCCATTAGCTATGCTCATATCACTAAAACTCAAAATTAATGTGATTTCAAAATCCTTTCCTCTCAGGTGCAATCTAGATGACCATATATATATGTATTGCAATTCATATGTTGGGCTCCAAATTAAATTTTCCAAATCAAAATTTTCAACAGATATTCATATATGATTGCCCAAAAATTCTCTTAAATTCCTTTTATTTTAACCGCATATACATGCTTGAAAGTGTAGCAATATAATATAAAGTGTACATAACAGCACACTTTTTTCAGCGCCCTAGTTCCCCAACTGATTACAATGAATCTAATCCTAGTTTTGCAAAAACTTAACTGCAGTTCCATCCCCCACCTTATTCAAAAGAACGGCGGATTCAAATTACACCCTCAAGAGATGCAACTACTAACTCGTCTGTATTTCATTATCTCTTCACTGTACCCTTCCTATATCATACTAACTCATTCTTTTTTGAAAAGACATCCTTCGAGTTTCCTTGCCACTTTTGGGGACATCTTGCTCAGGCCAATCACCCACAAATAACACCTATTTTCTTCAAAGTTGCAGTTTTATCAGTCAACAGTTTGCAGTCCACCTTTTCCCATTTCCAATCATCATCCTCCAAAGCATTTTCTTACGAATTATGAAAAAAAAATCAAGAAAGCAGATTAAAATTACACTAACCCTTTTCTACTTCGTTAAAGAAATAAAAAAAATTTGGGTTTGCGACATCCTTAACGGATCAAGAACACACAAAAAACACCATTCCACAAATTCTATTTCACATAGAATTTTTCAAGAAATCGCCAAAAAAATCAAGAAAATTCAAGAAAACCAACTTACTGATAAGGTGAGCAAAGAGGTGATCCCGGATAAACTTCGACGCATCGGCCCCCCCGTGCCCATCATAAACCCCGACGAACGTCGCCGCGGGCCCCGTCTCGACCTGGCTATGATCCTCAAGGCCCTCATTCGCCTGAACGACGGCGAACGAGAACTCACCGGCAGAGTGCCTCCCCAAATCACGTGACCAAAGCAAGGCATCGTCCTCGTCCTCTTCATCCTTGTTCATACGCGCGTACCTCCGGACCGGGCCCCAGCACGCCGACGCTATCCTTGTCAGCCACGAAAACATCCCTCATTTCCAGAACAAATTAACCCTAATTTGACGAGAATTTGGAAACCCCGATCGATAAAAAATTGGATCTTCGGGTGTTTCCTTTTTAGGGTTTTGCTGGGATTTGGGGATTTGAGAAGGGGGGTAAAGAATGGGGAAAGTCGACGAAGGCGTGAGGGGGGAGGGAGATGGAGGA